TTTTGTGCAGTTATAAGTTGAAGTTGTTGTTTTTTTTATTGGCATGTCATTTGGGAACCACAGCTCTCTGCAGAACTACTGAACTTTACACCAATAAGATGATTTCTGCTTTTCCAAACAGTGAGTCTAAAGATAGAGGGAAGTATATATGAGTTCTGAGAACAGTGAAATTGTGGGTTATTAATAAAGTTTCGACTTTGGAGGGGACTTCATTTCTGGGTAACAGTCTCTTGTGTTTTCTCTTTTTTCAATAATGTTGATGTCTGAAACACACACACTGGGTTCCTTCATGAAACAAGAGCAGTTGCTTCTTTCTCTCACTGAGAGTCACTTCACAGCTTAGAGGAGGTGATGAAGAAAAGCTGAAGGAATCTAAACAGCAAACAAAGCTTATTTTTACATTATTATTTGCCCCGATTGTTGCTTCTTCTTTTTTTCATCTCAAATGTGTGTATCCGTGTGTGTGTCTACTATATCAGTGATGCGAGCTGAGCTGAGGGCCGCTGTGCCCGCTGACTGGAGCCGTATAGATCAGCAGAGTGTTGGAGATTATGTCCATTGATCGGACAGGAGGGGTTTGTGGTTTGATTCTGTGTTTTGTGATTTCAGGGGCCGAAGGAGCCGTGTTCAGCAAATCAGTGGAGACGCCGCATGTCAGAGCTGAGCCGTTCAAAGAGCTGCGGTGAGTCTTTCCACGGCACACAGCAAGCACTCGGTCTCATGCAATACATGAACAGATGTACCCTGAGTTCACGTCAAAGTTCACAAATACTGCAGCAGTGTAGTGAAATAAAGTGCTCACAGAAAACCAGATCAATCCATCACATCGGTACACCGCACAGATGGCACAAATTAATTTATGGGAATTAATTAATGGAAAAGCATTTGAATGAATGTGAATCGGATTGACAAAACTGAGGTACACTTCAACTGCACTCCTATGGCAGGAGCGTAAATATTACACTGCTTTGATGCCCTTTCTGACTTTAATAATACCAATAAGTTGCAAAAATTATCACCCTCATGTATTCAGTAAGACTTCAGAGTATAACCGAGACCACAAACATATCACAAAACACGAGGTTTTTATTCACATAACAGTTAAAAGGAGCTGAGAGCCTTTTTCACACAGACGTCTACACAATCAGGCTTATTTTGCAACTAGAAAAGTCGCCCCCTGTAGGCCATTAAAGAGAATGCAGGATTAAGGCACTTGTGAGTTGTTTTACTGCAGTACTTAAGTGGTACAGCAATAAAAATTAAAACAGCTAATATGATTATTCTGGGAGAATATTCCATTTTAAATAAAAAGTGGTTAAATCTTGGCGATACTAGTTCCCTGACATTCTCCCATTAATTGTCATGGTCCTGGGTCTCTGACACACTATTTGAAGCCTGCTCTGGATTTTTGGTTTGGTTATCTGGAATTAGATATTTTCAAGGTCCTGAAACCCTTTGACTTTTGTTATGTATATGTCTTGGTTCTTGTTCATGTTAGTTCCCCTTCGTTTCCAGTCTGTCCTAATCTCGTCTCTGTGATTGGTATCACCTATGTGAAGTCATGTCCCAGTCGTGTCCCTGTGTTCTGTCTCCATCGTTTTCTGTTTTCCCTGTCTGTTCTGACAAGTTCATGTCTTAGTCTTAGGCTGTATCCCAATTCAGGGTCTGCAGCCTTAAAGGCCGCATTTCAAGGCCGATTACGTCACAGCAGTGCGCCGAAGGCTGTCCCAATTCAAAGGCTGCTCGAAATGCGGCCCTGAAATGCGTCCTTCATTTCCCTGAATTTTAAGGCTGTGGCGGTGTAGTCTTCGTGGCCCAACATATCCCAGAATGCATAGCGCGGCGGTGGGTGTGGATAACTTTGCTGAAAAAAAGGGCGGATGAGGGGCAGCCGAAGAGTAAACTTTAAGTAAGTACTGAATATTATGTCACTTATTTATGTGCAAATGTTTAATAACGCAGAACATTAAAACATTACTGTTGGCCACATGTCGGCAAAGTTATGTGACGTTAGTGACGTTTGTACTAACTTGGTTTTAAAGCCTTTACTTTAAAATATACGCCGTTCAATAGCTGAGCTTAATCTCACAGAGAATGATCAAAGCTCATGTAGAAACAAAAAAAAAGAACAAAAGATTTTCTCCTTCATCTCTGTCAAACAAAGCTGTATGAAACGTTTCCAGCTGTTAGTATCATGGTTGCTAGGCAACCTGGGCAGCGCAACGGAGGCTAGACCGTCACATTTCACAAGCCTCGCACTTCCGGCCTTAGCGGTCTTTGAGTACGCGGCCCTTGAGGATCGTTGAGGCTGCGTACTTTAAGGCTGCAGACCCTGAATTGGGATACAGCCTTAGTCTCTGAGCTAGTCACTTCCTGTATCATTTTGATTCAGGGTCAGTTTCACGTCCTCATCAGTGATGAGTCTGTTCAGCTGTGTGCTCCAGGTGTGTCCACTCTGCCCTAATCTCCTCCTGTGTTCATGTCGGGTCCTCTCATGGTGTGTGACTCTCCAGTCGTCGTTTGTTCCTGTTCGGCTCCATTGTTGTTTTCGGGTTTTTGTTTCCTTCGCCTTTTTACCCGCATTTAAATGAAGCTGTGATTTTGACGTCCACCACACTCTGATCGCCACACGCTCGTTCACATGACAATACCAGTTCCCTGACATTTTTCCCCAGAGAAAATCCTGATTAATTCTGCCTCACAGGTCCCTCCTTGTAAAATTGAACAGTGAACTGTTGTAAAACAATGAACATGTTCAGAATAAACCACTTAAAGCCAGATGATGACTATGATGAAAGATTTTGAGGTAGAACAGCTTTAGGTTATCAGCTATCAGTCAAATTCAGCTCAGACTGAGTGTGTGGCTCCGTACGTCGTCGTTCCTCTCCACGGTGTACATGGTGTGTGTTTGCATGTGTGTGAGGCGTGGATGTCTCCGTGGTGTAAACGTCTTGTTTATCATCTTTCTCCCGTCTGTGCTGTCAGATGTGATGACAGTCAATCAAAGCAGAAAGTGAGCGAGACGGATGCCTGGTGTGACTGTGGATAACGGGACGTAGGGATGTCTGCGAAGGGAAAAAGGAAAGTTGGAACAAGAAGAGATAACATCCACACGGTCAAGATTAATACTGGTCAGCGAGGGTAGCCTTTTTCTGTTGAGCTCTTGTTTATTAATAATGTTTGTTCACCTATTTTACCTGATTAGACCTCTCCTCAGGACTGACGGGGTGTGCAACCATTAAATTTGCTCCACTTCCCATCACAGATCCGCCCACGTATACTCTACAGTAGCAGAACGCTAATCAACCAGAACAAACGCTGCAAGTGTGTGGGTGGGTGTGTTTGATGGAGAAGTGAGTCTTATTTGCCTTTACTGAAATACAGACTTTTTCACTTCTCATTCGTGTCCGCCCAAGAAGCTCGTTTGTAATTCTGTAAACCAGAGGCTATTTAGGTCTGTTTCTATGTGCGTATCCTCCTGGGTGATGCCACCGCTTATCGCGGAGGTGCTTCACCAGGCAAAGTTTATATAAAACTACATTTAAAAAACAAAAAAGGTCATTACTCACTACGTATAACGTAAACAGCAACAGACCTAGAATGCCTTGTGGCGTTTCCATCCCATTAGTAATGCGCAAGCTGAGTAGATGTTTCTGGCCCTGCTTCATTTATTTGTAATGTGCATGGAGAAGAGGACATTACAGTCAAAACTAATTTAAATTCTTAAATCAGATAGATTTAAAGGTGTATTACAAACATCTGTAAAGTTATGACCCTGATTAAGGATGTGATGTGATGCTGTCCAGAGACTGAGGGCATCAGAAAGTATGCTGACCTTTACAAAGTAGTTTTGCCCCAAAGGAAAATCTAATTTTAACCTTCCAGACCAAGTTGTGTTTGTCTTAAACCGAACAGATATAGAAACTCAGTTGCTGTTTTTTAGAGTGCCACCATAAAAACGTTGCAGTTTTCTTAGCACATCCATATGCTTACATTATTAAATATAGATCCATCAGAGCACTTTTTTATGCAAGGTAGCTCATAATGTAAACAAGTTTAACTTCCAGCCCTGCTAAACACACTCAGTACAGACTTATAGACTTTTTTTAAAGGCAAAAAGTCAATCCCCTGATGCCCTATATCTACAGTCGTGATCCAGAAAACAGTGGTTGGAGACAATGGCACCTGTGTGCAATGAACTTCGCTCTCATTGTCTTTGAAACAGCTGCTATGAAGATGAGAACCAGGTCAAAGCAAGTCCTGGTGTGTTGCAACAGTCAAAGCAACAATAGGATGGAGTCAGTCCACTATCAGTTTATAATTGGTCAAATTGGCAGTTAAAAGCAATCTGTAATCTGCCAATTAACTGTTATAAATCGCTCATCTGTTCCCATCTGTTGCAAATCTGTTGCTGTTTGCATACACAGAAATTCGCATTAAACAGAAATTCACATGAACTGAACCCAGCCAGTTGGCAATCTGTCTGGCAAATTTTTGCAAACCTTCACTAATCTGTCTGAGAGTGACTGCACTCAGTCCAAGTTGGACCAGGATTGTTTGGAGGCATGCTACCTCCCACCGGGCAACCTGTGCAATTGGCTTCCCATCAAAACTAGTCATCCATAGGTTGATAGTCTTGTACACTCAATGCAGTCAACCACCAGTTTGTCATACTCGTGGGGATGTTGCCGTGCTGTTTTTACTGTGACTGAATCAGAACAGCTGTTTCAAACAAACCCTGGTGCTGTACGTTATGCAAAATGTGTTCAGTGTGGAGTTTCTCGTTGTTGCAACCTGGTCAATTACTTAATTATTTTCTACAAATAAAGCTCACTGCTTTCATTGGTATTGTTCATCTTCTAGCTTTCCATATCAATCCCAAAAGTGAAAAAGCAGCTTGGCAGTACTTCCTCATTTTATTTGGCTCCATCTACTCGATGCGTTTTAGCAGCACAGGTTCTCTGTCAAGGTGTCCTTGGTCGTGAGCTTTTACCGACATTTTTCCTCAATACTCGAAGTAGGGTGTTGTTTTTGCACTGCAGCAAAGGACACAAAGGACGAGAACTTTCTTTTTGTAATGCTGCTACCTAAACATTGATTCTTACAACTAAAATTCGGTGTATCGAAGTAAGTGGACCGTTTCTTTACTCTATATGTAACATGTTTAACTGTTCTGGCCATGCAAAACAACCTAAACAAAGTAACCTAATGGCATCCCATAGATTAACCCAGGCAGCAGGACAGTTAGGCCATCAGCAAGCTGTTTATTTTGCTTTATCACATGCACTATATAGACAGCAGTATTGCGTGAGCCTATCTACACATTACACCTACAGGAGCATTTACGACATCCCATTCAAATTGAGCCTTGTGCAGCTACAACAGCTTCCACTCTCCTGGGAAGGCTTTCTACAAGATTTTAAAGTGTCTGTGGAAATGTTTGCCCGTTCATCCAGAAGAGCATTTCTGAGGTCAGACACCAACGTGGGACACTCACAGTCTCTGTTCTCGTTCATCCCAACGGTGTCTGATGGGGTTGAGATCAGGGCTCTATGTGGGTCAATCCAAGTTCTTCCACACCAAACTCATCCAACATTTCCTTTTTGGACCTTATTTGAAAACTCCAAAAATTCATGGTCAACCGAAGCATTAATATTTTCCTTCATTGGAACTAGGTTTAGG